AAGAATTTCAAGATACTAACAGTATCTGTCAATTCAAGGATGGGGCCCTTCAGACCATGTGGACTTCTGAGCATGTAAGACTGTATACGTGCACAGCTGTAGAGCCAGCCCTGCTCAGCACCTATGAAGGGGCTGGAGCCAGAAGGTAAAGAAATAAAGCTCTTCAGCACATCTTCTCGTGTTATAGATGCAAAGACTGGGGCTCATTCAAATTTAGTGACTTGTTTAAGAGCAAAAACATGCAAGAGCAATAGAATAGAAGTTCACTGACTTCTACTCCAGTGTTCTCATCACTAATCTCAACTAGAATACTCTGGAGATAAAACAATGGAATTATGGAGACTAGCAGGGGATGTGTGGTTAAGCCACTGGACTCCCATGTGGTCAACTGTGGTTCAAGTCTGGGACCCAGGGACTTGAAACTTAATCCAGGCACGCGCGTGTGCATGCCCAAAATCCGAAAGGAGAAGGGATTGCGGTGTGGCCATCCCCTTGGGGGTTAATTTCTTGCTTTCTGGCTCTCTGGCTCTCTGACAAATACGTGTACCCTTAGCCAAAATCTGAAAAAAAAAAATGTAATTATGTATTTTTGTGGTTGTGAGCTATATCCTCTTTTGATCCCAATTTTCTCTTCATTAATTTTAATTCAGTTGTTGTTGAAAATATTTCTAATACCATCTAGTCTATTTTCATGTTTTGGTAAGAGAGAATAATGATTTTTTTTTTTTTTGAGGCTTTCTGAGTCACCAACTACTATGATAACATGTACAAAATTCCTTTGCTCAAAGGTGCCGAAGGTAGAGTACCAGACAGGTTTCAGATGGGATCCAGGAAGGCCTTAAGAAAGATGAACTAGTGAGCCAGCAGGTGGCGCAGAGGTTAGGGCAGCTGGATCTCACAAGACTCACTGAGCTTTGTGAGATCCAGACCTGGCAGTGCTGGGAGTGTGTATGTACCCCAAATCCTGACAGGAGAATAGAGGAGAAGGGATTGCAGCATGGCCCTCCTCCCGGGGCGGGAGAGGGTGATTTTTCATTTCTTTCCCTCTCTCTCTCTCTCTTTCTGGAAAGTGCATACGCACTACAGCAAAACTACAAAAAAAAAAAATGGAAAAAAGAAAAAGAAGACAGACAGACTAGTAATGCTCTATAAAAACAAAAGAGAGATGAAAGAGTGAAATAGAAGGATTAGATTTAGAGAGGGAAAATCTTTTTTTCTCTGAGTCTGATGAGAAGGGTGAGAGAACAACTGTTCACACAGCAAATTGCTCCTAAGTGTATAGAGACACATGGACAGGTGTGTGTCCGTGGTATTTCTACACGGGTGACCCAGAGTCATCACACGGTAATGATAATGTGTAGGGAAACAAGCAGAGGACAGGTTTAGAAAAGCTACTAAGTGAGGCTGATAGATCATACCTCTATAAAGGATTTGTGAGGTGAAGAAATTATGGATTCAAAATCACATCACTGTATATTTGACTAAATTTAATAATATATATTACTAAATTGCAGCAATAAACATGATTTCCAAATTATTAGTAATTAGTTTTTAATTGAGTATTAGGCTTAATTCAATAGCCGGTTTTTTTCTTTTTCTTTCTTTCTTTTTTTTTTTTTTTTGCTGCAGGGTATATGTGTCACTCGAGAGAAAGAGAGAGAGTGAAAGAGATGATGAGAAATCTTCCCCTGGGGGATGGCCACACTGCAATCTCTTCCCCTACATTCTTGTCACAGGACAATTTTTTTTTTTTTTTTGAGAGATTTTCACTGTAGGGCGCGTGCGCTCGCCAGACAGACAGAGAGAGACATAGAGACAGAAAACGAGAAATCACCCCCCAGGGGGGATGGTCACGCCACAATCCCTTCTCCTCCATTCTCCTCTCGGGATCTTGGGCACGCACGCACACGCGCCCGGCGTGAGTTTTAAGCCACCGGGTCTGGGACACGAACCGCGGTCGACTACGTGGGAGTCCAGTGACATAGCCATTACGCTAACTGCTGGTTCCCGTCACAGGACAATTTTGAGCACACGTGCACAGGCACCTGGTGTAATTTTCAAGCCACCAGGTCTGGGACTTGAACCACAAAGTTGGCCACGTGGGATCTAGCCATCTTAACCTCCATGCTCCCTGCTGGTCCAATGAGACTTTTACAGCAAAAGTGAATCTGAGCCTGTTTAGCAAGAAAAAAAAAAAAAAGACTATTTCAAGAAAAAAAATACTATTTAAAATATGATCCTTGTGCTGAACCTACGATACTTTTGGTGTGTTCATTGGGGAAGATGGTTAAACTATCTTTGAGTTTCTATCTAGTATTTGAGTCAGTATTTAATTTGAAAATCTGAATTAAGTTTTCTTTAATCCACATGTATTTTGAACAGATCAAGGGGGGTGCAAATAGAGACTAATTGGATAAGAAACATGAACAAAATTTTAAATAACCAAAATGCATATTTTTAAAGTTTATTTCTTCTGCGAGAGAGACAAGAGAGATAGTCACCCGAAACAGGATTTTAACACCATGATTGATCTTGGTCTCAGCTGGCTGGGACCGCAGGCACACTCATGCACTTTGTGGGCTCAGAGAGGTCCTAGGACACGAACCCAGGACTTTTCCCATGTGAGTCCAGTTGTGTTATCACTGCAGCCATTACGTAGTCCCCTGTCTTGCTTTTTATTAAAACCCACAGCGTTTGATCTTACACAGTCAGGCCATGAGGTAATGCCGCTTAGCAAATGTGAATGAATGTTAAATATTTCTAAGCAGACTTCCAGACGTAATTCTGGTCTATGGTGACATTCACTCATTCATCTATTTGTTTATTTATTCACTTATTTTTGCCAGACAGTGCGTATACTCAACAGAGAGAGACTGAGAGAGAGAGGGAGAGAAAGAAAGTATCCCCCATAAGGAATGTTCACGTCACAATCCTTTTTCCTTCATTTTTCCCTCCTCTTGGAATTTTGGGCACTCATGCACACCCGACTCATGTATTTCTCAAGACTCCTGGCCAGGACTTGAACTGTACAGTCGGCCATGTGAGATCCAGCTGCCCCAACCACACCACAGTCATTTGCTAATAAAAATCTCTGAAAGAGACACTTATATGAAAGCAACTCATGCTAAGAGTTCTTCCAGATTTGAAAGTTTTCAAGTGTTTTCGTTCTGTTGAAGTATATTGGCCTGAGGAAGCCTCCGTACTCCTGCTTTAGTTTCTATAGGCAAACTGCTTCCTTAGTAACTTTCAAAATTATTGGTAACTAGTTTTTAATTGACTATTAGGCTTAATTCAATAGTCTTTTTTTAAATCTATAGGATATATATGTCACTGGAGAGAAAGAGAGAGAGTGAGAGAGATGATAAGAAATCTTCTCCTGGGGGGATGGCCACACTGCAATCTCTTCCCCTAACCACCATGTCACCTGCGGGTTCCTTTTGATGTCTCTTTCTGTGATCAACTTTAAGTGATGTGCAGGTGTATGATAATCAAAGACTCTTAGCATCTCTTTATGGTGGCTCTCAAATGCCAAATGTTCAGGCACACTGTAGATTTAAATCATCAGAACAAAATGTAAAGACAGTAAATATGTTTTCTACTGATGGCTCTATTGAACTTTCAAGAAAGCTATTGAAAATAGTTTTCCCCAATAGTTTGAATATTAGTAACATGAAATATTTACTACATAAAGGTTTAATTAAATACTAGTCACTTACGGTAATTTGTTTTAATAATTTCAGGATTAGCAATTCCTTAAAAAGATCAATGGTGAACATTTAAGATATAAATGAATGCTTTCAATCTCTTGAATTATTTCTCAGAAGTTTGTTTAATTTAGAAAATAATTCAGTGTTTTTATTGCCTTAATTAAAATTCAGATGTGTCAAAACACCTAGAACATAATTTCTCCAGCATGCTTATTGCTATTTTTAATATTAAAAGTTATTTCCTTTTAAAGAAAACTCTCATGAAATGTAATTTCTTTCTTTGGTGAAATTTCTAAGAGCCTTTAAAATGCTAGTATTCACTGGGAATCCTCAGGGAGAAAGTCTCAGGGATGCAGCTTTGTCCACATTTGTTTGACTCCTTTTGAGAGAAGACACCTCAGGGAATTACTCTGTGGAACATGTTTTGGGAAAAGCTGATATAGGGGATGTTTGAATTCTTATTTTCACATTCAGGGACATAGTCATAGAGTATAGAAAAAGTGTCAAATTTCTGTTAGGTTACAAAAAGTATTAACTACAGGTGAAGTAATCTCATGCGAAGTAGGTGGAATGTGAGATATTTCCAAATTTAAACCAAAATTGGGACCAGCAGGTGGCACAATAGTAACATTGCTGGACTCTGACATGGTCGACCACAGATTGAGTCCTGGAACCAGTAACTTGAAACTCTTGCCGGATGCATGTGCGTGCTTGACCAAAGTCCTGAGAGGAGGATAGAGGAGAAGGGATTGTGGCATGGCCATCCCCTCAGGGAGTGATTTCTCGCTTTCTGTCTCTCTGTTTCTTTCTTTATCTCTATGGCAAGTGCTTGTGCCCTATAGCAAAAATCTCTTGGAAAACAAACAAAGAAAAATGGATTTAAGATAAAACCAAACCTAAGCACTCAGTTTTCTATTAATTTATGAGGTGAGGGTTTAATAGATGGTCTTTGAACAAAGCTCCTTTGTCTGTTTTTTTACTTGGCATGGTGGATGAAATTGGAATTGTGGTCATCTAAACTCTGAGAAAATCTTAAGTGACACAGAAACATGAATGAACAGGAGGATGAGTAGTTGTTTGGGGGGCCAAGGTAAGAGCTGCACTTCGGATTTTCCATGTCAAGGCACAGGGCCTTTGAATCACTGGGTTGTAAGTGATTTTTATGCATTCCAAGCTAGAGAGAGATTATACCAAAATCATTTTTTTTTTTCCTGTACAGAGAAGAGAAGACAGAGACCTCCACTATGTTTTGATCAACAACATAAAAAACAACGAAAACTAAGTCTTTTCCTCCTGAGGAAAGTAAGAATGCAGTTCCCCATTACCACAAATTACGCAGATGAGAGTTTCCCACAATTGGGGAAATCACAGGCCACGTCTGGAATGCAAAGAACAAATATCTCCCTGGGAAAAACACCTTCACGATCCTGGTACCGCCCTGCCAGGTACGTATAATAATGCATTTTCTTTGAGTGCCACATGTGTGGTACCATGCGGAAGTGCTTTATGTCGATTATCTCAGATAGTCCTCCAAACAAACACATCAGGTTAGTCAAATTCCAATTCTTATTTTTAATGGAGGCCACTGACGGCTGAAGAAGTTGTATATCTTTCCCAGACCTCACAGCTAATAACGACAGAGCCTGAGTATGAATATAGGTAAGTCTGACTGCAAAGTTTGTGTTCTTAATTGCTGGAGGTTTGTCTTCTATGCTGTTTCGCCATCAACCAAAACATTTCTATTGTATTAACAGAATATACAATTGGCAGGTCTTTTCTTTTATTTAAAGTTTTTTGCCATGGGGCACATGGGCTTGTCAGAGAGATGGAGAGAGACAGAGAGAAGAAAAGTGAGAAATCCCTCACCAGGAAGAGTGGCCACGTGCAATCCCTTCTCCTTCACTCTCCTCTTGGAATTTTGGGCATGTACACACATGCGCCCAGCATGATTTTCAAGCCAGCAGGTCTGGAACTCTAACTGTGGTCAGCCATGTGAGAATCCAGCCCTTTAATCACCCTGGAAAGTCCTTCTTTAGTAAATGCTGGCTTCTGTGGCTACGGATTGCCAAATTTCTTGGACACATTGCTTACTAATTACTGCTCAAATGTGGAATTTCTTTCCATTCGCTTCTCTCCCAAGATATGACACAGTAACTTGTGTTTGTATCTGAGGCTTGAGGAGGTAAGGGATTGTTTATTAAGAGGAAAATGAAGGCTCTTTCGAACAGAGAAAATTTGAAAAAATTAAAAAGTGTTTTAACAATTCCAAGGGTATACAAAAGGACACCATGGGATAAAGGTTGGGATATGTTTAATGTGGCGTGTGATTTTGAAATGAAGTCCAAGCCTGCATAGTGGAAGCCATCCATGCAGATGGTGCAGAATGAGCTTGTGGTTGCTCTAAGAGTGTCTCCAAGGACCAGTCCATTCATAAGCTCTTAGAGATGTGATGCAGCAGAGTCAATGGAGGTGTCACTGCTGCTGTGATCAGATCAGTTACTGGGAGTGATTCCTCATGGGTTTGGAGCTCAGCGCTCTTTGCTAATTTCTCATTTCCATTCCCACCATCAGAGTTCAGGCCCTTATTACCTCTTGTCTGGACTACCAGCTGGTCTGATTGACTTCGGTCTCACATCTCTCAAAATCACCCAGATTAGAGCTGCCTTTTTATCGTGTCACGGCTTTGATGAAAAGTCTCCAGTGGGTCCAGCCCCTGCTGAATGAGGAACAGACTTCTGGCATCTAATTGTGTCCTGAATTGGCAATAATTCAACTGTCCTGACTTACAACCCCTATTAAGGGACATGTGCCTTTCATCCTTACCTACTGACATCTACCAATGTCTCCTCATGTCGTCTCCTTCGCTTTTGCTTTTCTGTCCATAAATACCCTTTTCCTTGCTTCCTTCCACCAGCATTTGACATATGCATTATTTATTTATTTATTTATTTTTTGGAGAGATTTTTGCTATATGGTGCGGGTGCTTGCCAGAGAGACAGAGAGAGAGAGACAGAAAGCAAGAAATCACCACTCAGGGGGGATAGCCACGCCACAATCCCTTCTCCTCCGTTCTCTTCTCGGGATCTTGGGCATGCATGCACATGCGCCTGGCATGAGTTTAAGCCACCGGGTCTGGGACTCGAATGACGGTCGACTACATGGGAGTGACATAGCCATTACACTAACTGCTGGTCCTGACATAGGCATTCTTTAATACTCATTGCAAATGTCTCTCTGATTATTTCAACTGTGAAAGAGTACACCCTCTAAGCTTTATGCGTGGATTTGGGATCTCTCTCCTATGCAGCTCCAAAATTTCTCTTCAGATAACAGCTGAAGAACATCTTTATACTGTATTTAGAGTTAATTAAGTGGAGACTGCAATTTAGTGATCTCTGTACCCTATGGTGACTATCCCAGGGCCATAATGTAGTAAATGCTTCAAAAATACTTGTTGCATTCAGATGAGCTGGTTGTCACCATTCCTGGGATGTTACCTACAACATCCTAAATCTCCAGAAGTAAGTAGTTTTGATCCTTATTTGCTCTTCTAGAACCCTCTGTCCATCATTTTTTTTTTTTTTGAGAGGTTTCTGCTATAGGGCACGTGCACTCGCCAGACAGACAGAGAGAGACATAGAGACAGAAAGCGAGAAATCACCCCCCCAGGGGGGATGGCCATGCCGCAATCCCTTCTCCTCCATTCTCCCCTCGGGATCTTGGGCACGCATGCATGTGTGCCTGACATGAGTTTTAAGTCACTGGGTCCAGGACGTGAACCACAGTCGACTACGTGAGAGTCCAGTGACAGCCATTACGCTAACTGCTGGTTGCCCCTCTGTCCATCTTTTGCAAAACCATCACAATTGGAATGAAGATCTTAATTTGTGTAAGTATGCCTTTATTGCTGTGTTCATGAGAACAGATGCTAAGTATGCTAAACACATCATTTTGTCCTCAGAACTAGCATGGTACCTGGAAAATGGAAGTCATCATGCCAAGCGAATTAAATCAATGGATAGTTCTCCTAATATAATCATTATTTTTTTAGAAAGGTTTTTGCTATAGGGCATGTGTGCTTGCCATGAGACAAAGATATAGAGAGATAAAGTAAAAAATCCACCCGCCCCCACCGCCTCCGGGTGAACGGCCACATAGTAATCCATTCTCCTCCATTCTCCTCTTGGATTCTGGGCATGCACACACATGAGCCCAGCATGATTTTTCAAGCCACCAGCCATGCGAGAGTCCAGCCCTATAACCTATTTCTAAAACACCTGTAGTTACAGATATTCATTCAAGGATGTATATTGGGCACTTACTATTTTGAGCACATTATTAGGGACAGGGGATCAAAAATTGGAAGTGACTTCCCTCATGTCCAAAAGTGAACACTTTAATTCAATGCAGTCAATTGACAAAATAAATTGAGCTGACCACTCTGGTTTTAGTTGGCACTAGAAAATGAACCCCTGCACTAGCTATTTTGTAAAGAAAGCCTCAACTCTCTCCACGCTTGCTTGACCTATATTCCGGAGAGACCCAACATTGCCTGCCTTACTCAGAAGGGTTATTTGTCGTCTCTAACGTAAACCTGATTTTTCAGATATCTGGAACCATTCTTTCGTGTGATAGATTTAACCTCATGGGAATGGTGTCAAGGGCCACACAGCTACAGAGCAGGACTCCGGGAACAATACTTCGGATATTTGATAGCATCACCAGATTTGAATGACATGTCACAGAATTCTGCCAGAAGGTCAGATGAAACATTTACTATTCAAGTGGGTTACTTTAAGGGACATGTCATCTGTATATTCCTCCAGACACTAAGCCTCTATTAGGTTAGCTCAGCACAACTGGATGATATACCATAGAGCGACATGGGAAAATCTTAGGCTTTTATTTGTGTCATATAAAAATATGGCCCTCTGAGGATGATCTATATTTAAAAAAATAAAACAGTAATTAAGGATAATATGCACAAATTTATTTAATATTTCTAAATGATGGCCCATGCAATGTATTTTTTTCTGAATTTAGCATTAAGATAAATTTGTCCATTGCTGTGCTTACTTTTAGTATTTAATAACATATTTGCCATATACATTTACATATATATTTATAGTATACACACACACACATGCACAATATGAATATATTTATAACAGCCAGGAAGTTGAGTATTTTTCTTATGTGGTAACTTCCTTTATCTGGGGTTTTATTCTATAATTCCTTTCCTTTCCCTCTCTCTTCCCACTTATTGCCCTATTTTTTCCCTGTTCTTTTGAAAATAGTTTTACTACATTGATTACTTGCATTGTGGTTTGAATCAATCATTTTTGTATGTAGTTGGGGCCATAAATAAGTAATGTCTAAATAAATAATAGACTTGTCTTTAGGCATCCATAGTCTCTCTCACAAACATTCATTGCGGGAGTTAATTGGAATTGGAACTAAATATTACTTTGATTAATTTGTGTTCATTAAGTTCTTTTAGTACACTTTGTAGAAACCATGAAGCTGCTGGTGTCTGCTCTAACACAGTTTGAATCATGCTTTTGGTGAGACAGCATTGAATTTTTCCTGTATTTCAATGAGTATTATATATACAGATTATTTTTTTTGTTCACCATTCCATATTGTTCCTTCTGTTTTGAAATGAAATTGCAAATGCTTAAATAAATTAATTGAAAAGTTGTTTACTATCACTGTAACTCACATACGTATTTTCATGTCCTCAGCTAAATGCAATTTTCTAATGCTTGACACAGGTAATACTATTTAATGAATCACAGCTGAGTTTTCTTTTAACTCCTTTAAGAAAAAAAAAGAAAAATCCCAGAAAACTCCCTTCATTTTTTCACTTATAGGAACATAAAAAAATGTGGAAATATGTAGGCTGCTCATGATCTGAAAACAACCCCAGACTTACTGGCATACCTATTCTTCATCTTACTGTTAATAGAGCATACAATTTTCTAGAACCATATGAAGCAGTTTCATCTTACATTGGAGCAAAAATGTCCTAGTGTTAGTAAGGAATATTTTAATATACAGATGCGGCTAGTCATAGACAAAAATCTGACCATTGGAATCTACCATTCTTCTTCTGTCCTGTTCTATGGGCACTTTGTTCTCAAAAAAATTATCATCCTTGGGTTGTGTTTCATAGCTAGAGTTCAGGAAACCAGCCTTCCTGAAAGAAGTATTGTGCAAACGTAAATTCTTGATCAAATATGTGTGGAAAAAGTTGCTATACCTTCATTTTCTTGTAGAGTCACAATTTTCATTAGTGTTAAGTTTCTGAGGAAAGAAGTATGTTAGCGTGTTAGATTTAGCATCTTTCTAAAGGAGAAATTTTTCTCCTCAAAACAAACAAGAACAAATATAACATCCTGAGGGAATTATTCTAGTTGACATTGTTATTGTTTTCTTGTTCCATAGAGTATA